CCCAACTGAGAATAAGGAGAGGCAGTCATAGTATACCCTGTTGCAGAAGTCGTCAAAAAGGCATGATTGTTTATGAAGTACTGTATTGGTATTTTAATTTATGATTTATGTGATATATGTTGAGGTGAATACAAAGAACCCATTGAGCAAGCAAGGAATGTTGAGCGAGAGGTTTCCTCGCTGTGTTGTGGCTCTATTCTAATTTTTAAATTCCGGGCAAGCATAGCACGTCGTAGAGAGCAATGTATAGAGTATATATAGTATCGGCTTGCCAGAGTACAAAATTACACCCTTCTTATGCCTATTCATGTGGACTGTAAATTCCAAGAGTTACTCGTTCAGCTGACTACTCTCCATGCCATACCATGCTTGCAAATAAAACACATCGATATTCCTATTGCAATATATAACTGTAGAATTTTGATGGCTCTGGCAGATTAACAGCATTCTACCAGAGAGGAAGTCGAAAGCTGTGTGCTATTTTAATAGGTCCAACCAAAGGCAATTAAATATTAAGTCTTCAGAGAAATGCTGGATTCTTTGTGTGGTGCCATTCAAAGTGAGCGATGTATTGCGGCTAACCATCTTGGAGCTTAGCTAATGGGATTACAGACAGTTCTATTCTATGAAGTCCCACCAGTCCTTCTCGTAGCCCTCGCGCACATGGACAAGGAGAACGGTRCGYCGTTTGCGACAATAGTGCGACAGATCCAGAACCTTCTGCTTCACCTCACACAGATTCTGAACAGTGATTTCGCGCTCCAGGCACTCGGATATCTTCTCTGTGGCCATTTCCATGTCGCGCTGGTTGTCCTCGAAGATGATCTTCTGGTTGTTGTTGCGCAGATAGAAGGCAAACACGTAGCTGTACATAAGCGTTGCCCGACACTGGCAGAGGACGTCGACGGCCTCCTTGAGGAACTGCACCTCGATCCAGCTCATGTTCTCCTGCATGTCGTTCATCTTGGCCTGTACGTTGGCGTACAGCTTGTGCTCCATGCGCATGCTCATCATGTGGTTCATGTAACGATTGTAGTAGTGCAGGTAGCGCGCCATCGAGGAACGGTAGCGCTCCTGCGCCTGCCTGGCCTGCTTGCCCTCCTCCTCGTCGAAGCGATTGCAGCTGTACCAGGACGACCCATGCGGCTCCCAGGAGCCGAGGCACACCCAGCAAAAGTCATAACGGCAAGAGGGATTCTTGCACACCATGTGATTGCATCCGCCGTCCTTCTCGATGGTCACGTTGCACTTGGGGCACTCCTTGGTGTGCTGCGCAATCCAGTTGGACGTCTCTGAATCCTCGTTGTTCTTCTTCA